GTTGACCTGGACGTTCTTTGTCTTTCACATCGAAATCATCACTTTTAAAGTGTTTAAACCAGCGTTCACAAGTATGTTGAGATGGAGCATGTTCACCATAAGCTTCCCGAGGTGTACGATAACTTTCAGCAGCACTTTTCTTCAAAATAAAGTAATGAATTAAAAGTTCCCGCAAATGCTCTCTTTTTGGCACGAAATTCGACATTTTTAAGTGTAAAAATATCTATGATGTTAACACCTTCAGAAAATTTGACATATGAAGTTTTGATGCTTGTTGTCAATACAACAAAATAGCATACATATAAAAATCGCATATATATCAACATATGTGTAACTCCATCTATTGAAAAAAATTCGCATTATTAACCGGTACACTTGTAGGAAGAAAACAATAACAGAAGAATCAAGGTGCTGAATGAAATAAAGTACAAGCAGAGGAAATATTTTTCCCATGTTTAACAAAACATGGAGTGAAGGCAATATTTATAGGTTCAGATACATACAGATGGATAGATTTGGTTGGGGGTGGGGGGGAGATGAGGTTGTTTGTGCCTATTTTCAAACCTTTAACTCTCTAAGCCTCAGTTCCCTCACCAGTAATATGGTGAGTACCTACTTCATAAGATTTCTGAGGCTCGAACTACCATACCAAAGAGCCAACTCTGAATATTAAATTGTTATTAATATTCCTAGTTCAAGTCTCCATGAATTCTACAAAATAATCAATCTCTCATTTTGCATTTAACAAAATACCACAACTAAAAACAACTATAATGAAAGTAACTTAATGGGATTGAGGGTGTCAGGGTAAGCTTTCCTGAGACATTTAAACTGAAAGCTAAATGAGGTGTAGACATTAACTTGACAAAGGTGGAGTGTTAGAAGAGTTTAAGGAGGTTTAGAAACAAGCAAACAGAAGTCCATTGTGGCTATCAATCACGAGCCACTATATGAAGCAACTGAAGGCAACTAAATCACATTGCTCCTCAGTGATTTCCAATACCTCTTGTGGGTCAAAATAGGGCTCTTAAGAAATGAACATAATATAAACATTTTGGCTCTTGCTGAAAGACTCAAGTCCAACTGAGACGTGAAAACAATTTATGGACTTTGATTAAACCATAAACTATAAACCGAGCAGGGAAAAAGGTTTCTTGTTTCTTGCCTACTCTATTGACACAGGCTATGTTGAGTGCTGAGTAAACGATTCTTAGGCTTATTCAAGCTCAGCAGTAAAGTGTGGGGCCAGTTACCCCTATTTGCCATAAACACTGGGAGAGCACAGGAAATGGTAACATCTAAATTACTCCTTTTGCCACCCCTGAGCTAAGATAGCAACTTAGTAACTAATTTTTAGAGTTTAAAAAAACCCTTTATATAAAAAATGTTTTATATATTTAATATTATATTTAACATTTATAATATATACTTGACATTTAATATTAGCAGAAGCATAACTCTGCTAAAAAAATTAGCACTCACAAAATAAGCAGAAGCAGCTGAAGGAACCAGAAATCAAAGTATTTTCTTACTATTAGGGAACCTTTCTTGATTTTCAACATGGTGCAAGTCTTAAAAGTTACAAAAGAACGCCTGGCTGGTGTGGCTGTGGACCCATAAACCAAGAGGTCATGGGTTCCATTCCTGGTGGGGGCACATGCGCGGGTTTCAGGCTTGATCCCCAGTAGGGGGCGTGCGGGAGGCAGCTCATTGATGTTTCTCACCAACATTTCTATTTCTCTATCAGCTCTCCCTTTCTCTCTCTCTCTCTCTCTCTCTCTCTCTCTCGTCTAAAAAAATCAATAAAAACATTTTTTAAAAGTTACAATAGACAAAAGTGGAAACCAAAGGAAAATAAAAAATAACCTGGAGAGTTCCGGGAGAAGAGCTGGCGAAAGGCTGCCGCGTTCCTTCATTTCGATTCTTTCTCACTACCTGAGACTCAACTGTGTGAAATATGAGTCGGCATGTAACAGCAAGGCTCGATTGGAGTTCAATACTAGTAGAAGATGAAGAATCAGACCAGCCAGTTGGAGCCGTGGTTGACCAGCAGCCCAGGGATGAACAACCTCAACAAGAGGAGCCACCCACTGAGAGTCAGGATATTACACCTGATGAAGAGAAAGCAGTTGCAGGAGCACCTGAGGTTCAAGGAACTGACCTTGAAGCTGATCTTCAAGAACTGGCGAAACCAATGACTGGGGCTGAGGGTGGAGATGATCCTGAAGTCATCGGGCATGCTTGTGCAAATCCAGAGCCCATTGAAATGCCAGAAACAGGGGAAGGAAAACCAGCCATTTAAAGGAAGATGATCTGAAGACACACAGATTATTCTTACGTTGGATACTTCACGGTTAAAGTACTCTCAATAAAGTTTTACAGCATTAAAAAAAAAAATAACCTGGAATATTTCCTGAAAACAGGTGTATAAAAGGTGAATCAGAATCTTGTGTTTATGTAAATATCCAGAAAACATCACATGACTAGGAAGCTTAGAATGCAGTATAACATGAAGGGGGTAAAACTGCTCCTGGACAAAGGTAAAGTTTCAAAAAGGGGAGTATTTCTGTGTATTTTGTAACATTTCTATGGTACTGAACAATGTTGGCAGTCATTTTGACCTTTTTTGTTAGGACAGTGACCCACATAGCTTCACAGTACAAACAAATACCCTTTTCTGTACTACACTTGACTCATATTCAATAACAGAAGCAACACTGTTTTTTGAGAAAATATCAACTGTTACAATTATCTTTAAAATGTACTCACAGTTTAAATAGATTTAAATAAACTTTTCCAAAACGAAAAGCACCTACACGTTTTCTTGTTGCATCAATTGCATTTTCTCTAGCGAAGGTTTTGAATATGCCAAGGCTTTTCATAGCTAAGACCACAAAAAGGCTGGTCAGAGAGCATGTTTATTTAAATTTCCATTTCCAATACCGGTCGTTTTATTTTAAGGTTGTCTGAAAACTTGTCCTGGAGTTTAAAAAATGTCAACTCACAGCAGTTTAGCTTCTCCAAACACACGGGGCATAAGTTCTTGATTGACTTACTAGTTAAGACAGGTAAAGTGTGTTCAACTGGGGCTCGCTAGCTGTCAAGTCCCTGCCGACAGATACCGAGTAAACTTTCCGTCTGTTGGAGAGAAGTAAGGGAACCACTCACGCACCGGGTCCAAGGCGACGAGCCACCTGCTATGGGGCGGGCGCGCACATTCCCCGGTCCCATCCCAGCCCGACCCAATGACTTCCTGAACACGCTCCTCAGATTTTTCGAGCCCTGGTCCTGCAGCAGACCAAACCACCTGGCCTCAGAAAGCAAAGTCAGCTTCGTTGTTTTTGACAACACGTTTTGGTGAAGCCTCATTCGGGCCGACGGGTAATTTCTAAAACTTCCGGGGTCACCCAGCGAGCCGAGAGCGGCTAAAGAGGTGGGCACACGCTGGGCGTCCCAGGCGTTTCCGCAAACCTGAGCTCAGGACTCCAGGGAGACAGGGCCGACTTACTCAGCTCCCACTGAACGAGAAACTGTTCTCTCTGACCCCCTGGATGGCTTCCCCCCGGCCTCCTCGCGCTGCCTCCAGCCCAGCCTTTGGCGTGGTCGCCGCCCGGCCGGCGCCGGACGCGAAGGAAAAAACGTCCAAGCGCGTCGGTCACACACCCCGCGTCCCGGAGCCGCGCGTGCGCAGCACAGCCCAGAGCTCGGGCCAAGTCCGTTTCCTGACTTTTCAAGGAAGTGGCCTTGCGTCACTTCCGGCCTCCCTCTAGCTGCCATCTTGCGTCCCCGCGTGTGTGCGCTTATTCTCAGCTGGTCTGCCCTAGACCCCCTGAGCGTCAGCCCTAGTCCCCCGCGCGGCCCCGTTTCCTCTCCAACAAGGTACAAAAAGGCTGTGGACGCCGGCGTGGGAGGAGGACGGGATCGGGGGCGGGCAGTGCCCGGAAGGAGCGAGACAGGGAGGGACAGGGCTGAGGAGTGGAAGGCGATGCGACGGACAGGCGCACCCACTCAGGCTGACTCTCGGGGTCGAGGTCGAGCCAGGGGCGGCTGCCCTGGGGGCGAGGCGACGCCGTCTCTTCCTCCACCTCGCGGCGGAACCAGAGGACAGGAGCCTCAGGTACCGCGAGGCTTGCGGAGAG